CATGCTGTTCGAAAATCCTTGAGATTCATGTAAAAATGAATTAGAGGAAGTTTACAATACTCCGGGATATTTATGTATGTGGTACCCCGGCTAATGGATAGTCATTATTTCTTTTCGAAAATTCCTCATTTCTCTATTATCAAGACAAATAGAGAGTTTTTATTAATGTCATACTTCGAGATATTTACTATGTGATACTTCAGCCAATGTATTTATCTTCGAAAATCCCCTATTTCTCTATTATCAAGACAAATAGAGAGTTTTTATGAATGTCATACTCCCAGATATTTACTATGTGACACCCCAACCAATGAACATTCATTATTTCTCTTCGGAACTCTCCCACTTCTCTATTATCAAGACAAATAGAGAATTTTTATGAATGTCCATTGGCTAAGGGTACCACATGTAAGTACTCCCGAGGATATTGTATACTTTCTCGAGTTTCAGATGCCTTGGTTTAATAACCCAACTACACAAAAATACCTTCTTTTTTTTTATGGTAGGAAATTTTCAGTCCTACATATGCTTATTGGACTTAAGCCCTTGATCTTTCCATTTTGAAGCCGAGAAAATACCAAATTGGCTATCGCCGTTGATGGTAATTGCACAAAAGTATTTGAGATATGTTTGGTGCATGGAATTAGAACTATAGAATTGGAATCGGTGAAATTGAAGAAAAACAATTTAAAAAATTGAATTAAAATGTTATCCGATTCCACCAATTTCAATTCTAATGCTCTAATTCTATGCAATCGAATACACCCTTAAAGTCCCTTAAATTCATTTATTTAGTGACATTTAAGTGTCATATGGAACCCCAAGATCCAATGCGAAGTCCCCTAAATTCATTTATTTGGTGACATTTAAGTGTGATATGTAGCCCCAAGATCCAACTGCCCAAGAACTAGTTAAAGTCCATAAATTCATTTAGTTGGTGACATTTAATTGTCATATGGAGCCCCAAGATCCAACTGGACATAGCTAGTTAAAGTCCCCCTTAATTCATTTATTTGGTGACATTTAAATGTCATATGGAGCCCCAACCAAACATTGCAGCTAACAAACACAGTAGTACTAGTAAATAAAAACAAGAGATCTTGTTTGACCCAACATTACTTATAAACACTTTTACAGACTGGCACTTTGCCATGTGATTGTGTAAGACTGAGATTTATACATTTCAAACCTACAACTACCTCTAAAATCTTACCTACTAATCCAAATTAACAGTATTATTGGTGTAACAACCACAATATACATATACATATACATATACATACACACACACACACACACACACACACACACATATATATATAATATAATAGTGTCATTAGTTGCATCACAAGTCTAGTCCTGTCCATTTAAATCCACAATGCAATAACTTTAAATTTAGGGATAGAGCCAGCTTAGGCTCAGAGGAGAAAATTTTCCTTGACCGTGCGACAAGCGCAAGGGTATTTTTCTCAGCTCAGAGGGGCATGTGCCCCCTGGATCAGACTGGCTGACTAAATTTTTTACATATTTATATACATAATTTATAAAATATTACTTTTTGCCCCTATAATTTATTTTTCTATAATTTTGTAAAATATTACTTTATGCACTCCTGAAATTAAATCCTAGCACCGTCCCTGATTACTAATGCATCAACTTTATATCAATAAAGGAATAACTGCATAAATATGTTAAATTCTCGATTTATTAGTGTTACAACGTTGCAACAAGAGGTGATATATTGCATGAGTCTTGCATTTTCATTGTAAATGTAATGTATGAGTGTTACATCATGGTTGCATATCTGATATAGTATGTCAGTAGTGTTGCACTATTAATTTAATAGTGAAGGCGGATAAGGAACAAGGGAGTATTCCAATCCACCTCTAAAGTCTAAACAAGTGTTTACTTGGACTAATAAAGAATATGTTGAATTTGTTTGATGAATTTGCACACTAACATTATCGTGATGTCAATTTCACTCACATCAAAATAGTTGAAAATGTCAGACTATTAAAAAATTTTATTAATAAGAAGAAAAAAAAAAGCATCTTTAAATTCAATTCTTCACAAACTTGCTCAAATAAAATCCCATGGATCTGCCGCATATGTTATTGTGATGTTGGTGGGCCCCACAAAATTATGCCGCTAAGATCTAGCCACGTGTCCAAAATAGAATCAGAATCTTACTTCAGAATTAAAAGTACCTTATAACATGCTTACATTAAAAATTGAACCAATTGAGCTATAGTTGTAATAAGTACATTATATAATTATGTTTTAATTAAGGTTTAAAAAAAGACATCAGATAAGACAGACCAAACATAAAATAACATTATCCATAGTCTTTTTCTGCTAACTAAAAGGGCAATAAACTAAGACCACCTTCATTAAACTAATGCGAACTGAACCAATTGACAAAGTTGATGACAAAAAAGGTTTGTGGGTTCATTCAAAGTACAACAAGAAAGGAGAAATAGAAGTGAGATGGAATTCTGATGAGCCAATAACGATAGTAGTACATAATATATTCATTCAGTCCAACTAAAAATAAAATAAAAAATTCACACATAGAATATAGAATGTGCACACACACACACACACTACAGTATGTAATACTTATTTAGTGGACAGTTAAGTTTGTTTTTGGATCTTGTGTCATTACGGTTTTCTTTAATTAGGAAGGCTACATCCAGAACTGTTTTGGCTACATCCACACACTATTTGCGCCATTCAGTAGGAAATTTCCACTTCCAACGCCCTGGAGGCAGTCAAATTCTCAAATATTGCTTATTCCAAAAAAATTAATGTGGGGAAATTCTTCTCTCCCGCCAAAATTCCATTTAGTACAATAAATTCCAATATCCAAGTTTGCCATTATGACCTAAATAGGTAGTGCATCTCTAGAAAAATTATAGATAATATTTTTAAAAAAAATAAAAAAAGGTAATTGTCTAGAATTTTTTTTTTTTTTCTTTTATAATCAAATTATGATCATCACCAATCGTGCTTGGTATTATAATAAAAGTCATACGGTATGAAATTAATTCTTTAATTTTTTCTTTTTATTACTAGAGAATTTAAATTATTGACGGCAATCAAGAGTGGACTGTCTCGCAAGCATGGTTCGCCGTATTATTCTATACGCGATGTATTGGTCGATACGTGATCATTTTTTAAATTTGATATGCGATTCGTGTCAACCAATTTATATTAATTTTATCTAAATTTATTACACCGCGACTATAATCTTGATCGTAACTGCGAACAGTATACACTAATTTTATCCAAACTTATTAAACCGCAACTATAACCTTGATAGGGACTGCAAACAATGCTCGCAAACATAGTGAAATCCGTCGCCAATTTTTAGACTCTTGTTAGTACGATTTGCGAGACATATCTCTTAGACTTGTCACTTCTTAATCAGGAATTATTGTGCATCTCCCCATTATGACCCCTTAACAACCTTGATCTTGAAATGTGTGTCACATAGTACCACACATAGCTCAGGACATTACATTAGATGTTTTTAATTGCACTTAGTATGATTTGCAAGACATATCTCTTAGACTTGTCACTTGTTAATCAGGAATTATTGTGCATCTCCCCATTATGCCCCCCTTAGCAACCTTGATCTTAAAATGTGTGTCATACAGTACCACACACAGCTCAGGACTTTGACTAGTATAGGGAAAATGGGGATGACTATAAATGCATTTCTAACCAAAAGTGGGTAACTATATAGACTTTGAGGTTTACAGTTAAAAAAAGAAAAGTTGTTATATCTATTAGGTCCATTCATATATTGTAAATGCTCCCCCTCAAAATTGCACCTTTATTAGAGTTTACTTGAATTTATAATAAATTATTTTCCCTATCAAAAATTATTTTCAAATTTATAAATAATTGTTTTGAATGAATTACAAAGAAATCCTAGTTTGATTTCATTAAGTTCTAAGTGAACAAATATATATATTAGATTTTTTTTATATATTGATAGAACTTGATACTCTTATAAAATAAAGATTAAGATCTATTCATAATTTTTCCAAGTCATTTTTGAATTGAAGTTTGGGTTAAAAGGTGAGCTTGAACATCATCTTTGGAACCATGCTTCAACAAGTTCAATGTATAGATGCCTCGATAATTTAGTGGGTTAGTGCCTCTGGTGAATTTTGGAGTGTCAAGCTTCGACTCTTTGCATCTACTAATCTAATTTCTAACACTTCTTACTTTATTAAAAAAAAATAAAAAATAAAACTCAATGTAAGATTTGATAATACATAAATGCATATACATTGGGGGAGTAATTTGAACATGATATCGACTTTTTTGTCATGATCATGTGTAAATAATCGTTTGAAAGAGAATTATGGGCAGTTAAAATTTCGAATAAAAAATTTATTTACAAATCTTACACAAATTAGTCAAGTTTTTATATTTTCTTTCTTTAGACTTCTTAAAAATTATTTGACCAAATTAAAATATTATTTAACAATTTCTAACAAAATCATTTTACGATTTGTTTGTAGCACCAAATCAATACCTTAAAATTGAAATTCATGACGAGAATCGGGATCCAAAACACAACAATTTAATATTTCGAACTGATTGAGAATGTGCCGAGTCAAAGGAAAGTTCATAACAACTGTCATGAGGTTGTGTGTGTGTGTGTGTGTGTGTGTAACACAGTTGGCATTTATGGGTTAATAAGGCAGAAACAAATCGTGCCCTGAAACGAGGCAGTTTCAGTCAAAGCTAAGTCCTCACACACTCATCACCTCTACACTTAACCCCACCCACCACCACCATTACTACAACCTCAACATCACCATTTACACACACACACTATTAATCAACCAAAGTGTTTATACACTTTTCATAACCGATAAAATAAACATATCAAATTAAACTGCATAGTATAGTACTACATGCTATATATACACACACACACTACACACAGTACAGTATTATTATTATTATTGTTAATTATCACATTTCCGCTAAATTTGGCGGCATTAAAACCGCTAACCTCATCTCTCTCCTCTGTTTCAAGTCATGACACTACACATCACTCTCTTTCTCTCTCTAAATCATGCGTTTAGCAGTTGATATATATCCTACATTTTCAGTTTAGAGAGAGAGAGACAGAGCATCACCCAATACATGGACGACTCTTCTCACTCCACCCTTTCTCTCTCTACCCTTCTCTGTCAAGAACCCGGAACACCCTGTTTGGCTGATCATCAACACACTTCCATCAGCTTAAACATGTGCCACTCTTCATCAGAAGAAGATGATGACGATGATGAATATCTACAAGTGTTGCTTCAGAGAGAGATCGGTTTCGGATTCAAAACCCACCAATTTTCACGAGATCACATGATTAAATGTGCTCGATTAGATGCTATCACATGGATTCTTAATGTTAGTCATCTATATTCAATTCAATTATCTTTAAAAACCATATCGTTTATAGCTTTAATTAGTTACATTTAATTCAATTCACACCCTTTTTTCTAATTTCGTTTGTTCTATCCAAATTCAGACCAGAGCATTGTTCAGATTCCGCTTCCAAACAGCTTACTTGTCTGTCACTTACTTTGATCAATTCCTTTCAAGAAGAGTCATTGATGTGAGTTCTTTCTCTCCATTGATTACCCTTTTCTTTTTTTTGGGTTATTATTATTATTTTAATTTTTTTTTTTTTTAAATATTTATATATGTGTAGAGTGAGAAATCTTGGGCTATTAGATTACTATCTGTGGCATGTCTTTCACTGGCGGCAAAGATGGAGGAATGCAGAGTTCCGGCATTGTCGGAGTTTCCGGTGGAGGATTACAGCTTTGAGAGCAGAGTGATTCAAAGAATGGAGCTTTTGGTGTTGAATACATTGGAATGGAAAATGGGATCAATCACTCCTTTTGCATATATACATTGCTTCATCACAAAGTTGTGCAAGGACTCATTACCAAAGAACATAGTGTCTAAAATTGTACAACTCATCTTGGCTTTAATGAGAGGTAAAAGTTAAAATTAAAATTCTTGATTTAATTCTTCTTAGGTGATCTTCAATTTTAATTGGTTTTTTTTTTTTTTTTGTATATATATATATATTAATTATATATTGATGTGTGATCTTATGATTAGATGTGAATTTAATGGATCATAGACCCTCTGTCATAGCTGGGGCTGCAACAATGGTGGCATTGGACCAAAAGTTAACAAGACAGACTTTGGAATGTCAGATCAATGCCTTGAGTCCAACTCCATTTCTTGAAATTGTGAGTCACTTTTATATTTATGTCTGTATTATTATTTTATGTACATTTTACATAAAGATTGAAATTGGTGATGAATTGTCATAGGTTTTGGCATGGACTTATTGGTGGCTTTTTTTTTTTTTTTAATAGGAGGATGTGTTTTATTGCTACAATCGAATGTTGGAATTGGATTCGGAGGAAATTAAAGTAGTTAAGCGTGTATTGTCTCCGGAGATGTCGTCTATCCAATTGGGAGGGAATGATGTCTTTGAAAATTCTTCGATTAGTTGTGATGTTAGCGCGAAAAGAAAGAGCGTTGCGTTCGAGTTCGACGATTGTCATCAAAATTGTGTCGTACCTGAAGAGAAGCGACAACGATAATTGTTAAAGATTATATTGATCTAACAAGTGTTTTGATTTTTCATCATTTCTTGGATATGATTTGGAGTTGATTGAGTGTTTCATCAAGAAGAAGGAAAAGGAAGAGGAAAGAGGAAAGAGGAAGAGAAGAGAAAAGAAAAATGAAAAGCAAGGGCTTGTGGGTTATATAAGAAAGCCAATTGGGTGAAGTACAAAGCCACAAGGTGTGGAAAAAAAGCCCTAAAGTTGGAACTTGAAAGCTGAGCATGTACTAGAGTCATTCTTAGGTTTTTTTTTTTTTTTTTTTTTTTTTTTTTTTTTTATATATATATCTTTGTTTTGTATCTCTTTTGGGTTTTTATTTATTTTTATTTTTTTTTATAATATCTCTTGCAACCCTAACTTTTGATGGGTGTGCTTGGGATGCTTTTTCTAGTGTCTTTGAAAAGGGCAAAGGCAACGAGGAGTGAGGAAGAGGAAGTGAGGAGGGAGGAGGTGTTTGGGTGATTTGATGCATCTATGTTGTATGTTGGCCAATGAAAAAGGGTTTGTAAAGCTGAATTTGCTTGGATTTGTTTGAATGTTTGGGGGATGCCTTTTGAGGTGGGGTCCACTGCTGTGCTCTTTTTTGATGTGAAGCTTTCTTGGCCTTGTGTTGAGGGGTCATGAAAACCAAGACCATTGTTTATGGGAATTGAAAGGAATTTCTATGTTGATTTTATTTGATGTAATACTTACTGATCTTTTTGCACTGGTTTTACAATTTTCACTGCTGGGGGACTAAAACTGAAATAATATATAAGGTATTAAAAACTTTATCTTCTTCGCCAGCATCAGAAGATTCTGGCTATTTTCTACTTACTGGTACAAAATATCTAGAGTAATTTTTTTTCTTTCTTTTAATGCATAGACTGGACTCTATTTAGGTTTTCAAGATCAGCAATATCTTAGATGACCTAAACAAAGAGCAAATAAATTGGATTCAATCCAACATTTCTATTAAAAAAAAAAAATTAGGTTTTCTAACAAAAACACAAATATAGTTAATTAACAATGATGAAATACAAGAATTATCAACTTGAGATTGAGATTGAGATTGAGATTGGTTTGACTATTTTCAAAACCATTTTACTACTTCCAAGTGCTTTTGTTGGACAATTACATCTTGGAAAATTAATTTTTGTTCTAATGAGTTCTAAGTGCAAGAAAAGGGGAGATCGCTTTTATCCTTGAAACTATCAATCTTGGTTTAAATACTTACATGCCATAAAAAGAAAAAGTAAATTTTGGTTCCAATCCAATATTATGGGCAAAGAACATTGCTGTATGGTCAAAAGTGGCAACAAAATACTTGGTACTACGTAGGGCTTTGAGCATTCTCACCACCTGCCAGCTCTTTTGGCAAGAACATTGATGTCTTCAATATGCCAAGTAGTAATCGTACTTTATTCACCTATTCTCTCTCTCTCTCTCTATATATATATGTGTGTGTGTGTGTGTGTGTGTGTGTGTGTGTGTTACTCTTGCCAGGCACAATGCTCTTGTTAAAAGATGCCTTCGGCACGAATGAACCCTACCACGACAACTTATTAGTGTTCAAAAAGGACTGGGTAGGGAGCTTTGATGGCTATCAACTGCTATCAGAAAAACACGTGAAATTTTTATATCATCTCAACCAATTATCATTGGAAACATGAGCAAAAGGCCGAATAACTGGCTTTATTCGGCCTTTTGCTTATGTGTCCAATGGTGATTGGCTCCCGATCTGTAGGAACTTTAAAATGGAATTGGGAACCAATTCAAGAACGCGAAGTACGTGTGAAGGTCGAGGGTTCGAGTCCCCAGAGCATGTAGGCTTGTGGGTTTCCCGCCAAGATAATAAAAATAAATTTCACATCTAAAAAAACCGAAAGGATATATTCTTAAATTCCCATTGGCTAGTTAAAAAGGAGAGGCCACTAGCTTTGATGGCTAGAACATGTCTACACACATATACACCATGTCATGGTGTGTCAAGGTACCCGAGTCTCAAGACCACTTTTTCAACCTCTGATACTAGTTGGAGGTTAAAGTAGAAATTAGATCATTTTGATCATATCCATCAATTCATAACTATAGAAAAAAATAATAATAATAAAAACTTAATGAACAATCAACAAAAAAATACAACCTAATTTTGTAGATTTAGGGAGCAACCCCAATAGGGAATCATTCATTCTCTAACAAACATAACTGGTTTAGAATAATGATTACCTAAAATTCTGTTAGGATGAATCAGAAAGAGTTTCAAGATCGAAGTTGAAAACTTGCTTACAAAAATAACAACAATTCACGTTTTTCGGTAGCATAGGTGAATATCTTTGGTCTTGAAATTTAACTGTATGCAAAATGCTATCTTCGCATGCTGCTACTGTGAAACATGGGGAGGAAGATACCTTCTTGAATATAAAAGCTTGGATGAATGAGTCAGAAAGTACCCACTTGCTTTCTCCTGAGTTTCATTTCGATCCCACAGGGATCATCTTTATGGCAGCAGCTATTGGCATGCCAAGAAACCCGATTGAAACACTCACGAACCAGTGCTGCCAGGTGAGAGGAATAGTGTTTGCAAACGTACCGAGGAATTCAATGATAATGATTTGGAAGAAGACGGTGCAAGCGAGTACGATAACAAACACGTAATTTTTCAGTATGCCTTTGAAGACGTTTATCTTTTCCATCTCTCTGGAGCTGATCTCATTGAAAACCTGCACAGAAAGAAAAAAAAAAAGGCATTGTGTTCTAAGTGGGCATGTATTTATCAACTTTAGGATTGGAAATTTATAACTTGAAATGATCCTTTGTGATTCAGACTTGCCAAGACGTGCATGCAGAGGTTTCACGTCAGCCAATCTTAAGATTTAAGAGCAATTAGATGCGTCCATGCATAAGAAGTTCCATTTTCCACATTTTAGCTCCAATAACAATAAAGCTGCCTATCATTTCTACCTAAACAACCATCATTGATAACTTGCATTTGGCTTAATTTATTAAGGGGACACTACTATCAGAAGAAGAATTAATCAATTAGAGTTGAGGGCTTTTTTCATGCTATTATCAAATAATGTTACTCGATGTGAGATTAATGAAGTCTGAATATTCAGAACAACGATGGAAAATGATTTCCCAAACTATTTAGTACTAGAGTAATAACAGAATAACTTCATTTTCTACCAAAACATCAAAAGTAATCTGTCTCGACTCATAATATCTACCAGTTACCTGACAAAAGACGAAAGAGTTAAAAATAAGTGTGTTGAGAATCAAATCAGAGTCCGAGCTATCCAGATGAAAGACTGATTTTCCTTGCGTCTGAAGATACCAGATTATAATAAATTGATAAAGCGATTGCCCCATGATATTCCTCCACATAACATTACTGATGAAGTTCCCTTTCCTTCCAACGGGTGGTCGATTCATTAGGTCATCATTAGGAGGTTCAGTGGCAAGTGCAAGTGCGCCCAGTGTATCCATGATCATGTTGACCCATAGAAGCTGAACTGCAGTGAGGGGAGCACTTCCTAGAGCACATAGCAACCACCAGAAACGTAAGAAAAGAATAAAGCTAATGTCACGTTAGGATTATGGTATGTAAGGGAACAATATGCCAAAAAGAAATGTATCTGATAAGGAGGGCAATACAGACAGTGTATGCTTACCTGTCAAACAGGCAGAAGAAAAATTGACAATTAGGGCAACCACATTGACTGTCAGCTGAAACTGAACAAACTTTTGAATGTTTATGTAAACAGAGCGTCCCCATTTGGCCACAGTTACAATGGTGGAGAAATTATCGTCTAAAATTATGACATCAGCACTCTCTTTAGCCACCTGAAATTCAAGAACAAGAACAACTATAATCAATATTTAGGGTTGCTAACATAATTAAAGCAATCTTCAAAAGTGATGAAACATGTGATGTCAAAAATTCCTGAAAAAATTGGGTTTCTATTTCAGAATTGTATACTTTGTTTAGAAAAGCTCTGTTCAGGATAGAGACCTAGGCTATGATTTGTGATAAAGTTAGTGAATCGAGAGTAGTAGTCCTTAAGAAGCTCAAGAGAATATACGAGTAATTGAGTGATTTTATAATTACAATTTGATTTTCTGCGAGTAGATTTTGATATTCTCACCTCCATGGACCAGGCATCTTTCTGAAACACATAAATATTGTGTTTGTTTTGCTTGTTTGTGTGACTTCTTTTGATTATTCAAAATGATTGCAAGATTGTGAAGGTTGTATGTGGTACATTTTGTCTACGAACAACAACGTGATATCAAAACTTTGATAGTTAGTTTCAGATTTAATATCGCATATCGTAACTACGAAATACAAGATTGAAAGTTCAATTGGAAAAACAATCTCCCCCATTGGCAGCAAAGAATGCAAGATCTCATGATAGAACTAGGATTATGCAAGGCACCGTAAATAGATTTTTCAGTATCTAGAAGATACAGTTGATTTTAGTATTGTGTTTGATCCGGATGAAGCTTCAGAAGAAGTAATGGGATATATAGACTCTAATTATGATAAAGACCTTGACACAGGTAAGTCCACTAGGGGGAGTTTAAGTTTGCAAGTGGATAGATATATTAGAGATCTGTCCTCCAACTGCAATTGCATTTTCTATAATAGAAGCTGAGTATATTGCTAAGGTGAAGACAACAAAGTAGGCTTTGTGGGTCAAGGACTGGTTATAGAGTTTGGATACAACTATAATAAGACTTTTCCGGAAACAAGAATAGAGTAGCAGGAGTTATATATCACCTCAGTTCCAGCAATGCCCATCGCAAGCCCAATATCTGCTTCATGAAGTGCTGGAGCATCATTTGTACCGTCTCCAGTCACTGCAACAACTTCTTCAAGTGTGGTTCTTAAGTGTTTCACAAGGGTATGCTTATCCATTGGTGAAGACCTAGCCATTACCTGGACATGAAGAAATTCAGATAATTGCCATAAAACAAATTTCTATTCATTACATGGTATACCGCAGATGCTACTGGAACCAACTTTACATTAATGAATTTCAAAAGTATAGACTATTAAGACATGTTCAATAAATTGCAGTGTGGTTGTAGTGGTATGTGCTCTCATTTTTATTAATCCATACGGAAATTACTATTGTTTAGTTTTCCAAGCAAAAAATGTTGGCAACTTTATCTAATATGGCCCATTAAGATTCACAATTGTAATGATTGCCAACCAGAAAATCAGGGTGGTTGAACAGATCTTCTGGAACTTTTCATTGCAGAAGTTTTTTTTTTTTTTTTTTTTTTGGGGGTGGGGGGGATAACGAAGGTGGGAAAAGGGTGCAACTTCCTAGATGGAACAATTTCAAGGTTCAAAAAAAGCAGGCAGTACATGCTTTTTCCAAGAATCTCTTCTACTGTAAAGTCCAAGTAAATGTACATTTTACTAGTCCCACTCCCATGATTAATCATGGTGAACACTTCAAGTGCTGTCATTAAACCATCTCTCTTTAAATTTGGTTCTAAGAACACCATCAATGCCGCCAACACAACACTATTAGAAATGTAAAAGCACCTGAATTTTGGGAATGAGTGCATTCATTTCCTCCTCACTCTTCTCCCGAAATTCTGGGCCTTCAATGGCTATACCATTATCAGTCAGAATCCCACATTCCCTGGCAATTGCCTTTGCGGTGTTAATGTTGTCTCCTGTAACCATCCGCACAGTAATACCAGCTAACCTACAAATTGCAACAGATTCCTTGACACCAGGACGAACTGGATCTTTAATACCCACAATTCCGATACAAGTATATCCCTCAAAGGGTATAGGATTTTCAGCAGAGAATTCACTTCCCAATTCTATATAAGCAAGGCAAAGAGTTCGTAGTGCTTCGTTAGCTAATTGTTCAATTGTATCTTTCAGATGATTCATAGATGCTTTATCAAGGGGAACAACGTCACCATTCGAGTCTATGACTTTGTCACATGCAGCCAAAATTATTTCAGAAGCACCTTTACAATGGGCCCGGAACCCTCCTTCAGGAAGCTCTATAATAACCCCCATCCGTTTCTTCACAGAATTGAATGGCTCAACTTTCACAATTTTTGATTCTTGTCGTTCTGCATTGAAATCTCCACCAAGCAACAACCCAAATTCCAAAAGTGCTGTTTCAGTGGGTGTTCCCAGGATCTCAATTTTGTTGTCTTGATTCTTAACCACTTCTCCCCCAGTGTTGTTAAATATGGATTGGAGTAGCATTTTCCTGACAGAATCAGAAATCCCAGAGCAGACACTAGAAATCTCAGTAGAGCTACTCAAGTCCTTGATTTTCCCACCAATGTATGCTTTTACAACGGTCATATGGTTAGTAGTTAGTGTCCCAGTCTTATCACTACATATACTTGTGGCAGATCCCATGGTCTCACAAGCAGCCAGATGGCGGACAAGTGCCTTATCATTCATCATCTTCTTCATGGCAAAAGCAAGACTCAATGTGACAGCTAAAGGCAGCCCCTCAGGGACCGCAACCACAACTATTGTAACAGCCACAGCAAAGTATTCCAACATTTCGAGGGCTTCATCCCCAGACCAGCTCCAATGAGACCCTTCTTGTAGTTTGCGGCTGAATAATCCTTGCACCATAACAGCAAAAGTAACAACAGCAAAAAACAGGCCTATTTTCCCAATGATGGTCGCCACTCCATTCAGTTTGACCTGCAATGGGGTCTCATCATCTCCTCCTTCACTAAGAGTAGCCAATAATTTACCCCATTGGGTTCTCATCCCAACAGTAGTAACAAGCATTTTGCATGATCCATCCTGAACTTTAGTTCCAGAAAGGAGAAAAGGATTATCAGCATTCACTTTAACTGGCTCACTCTCTCCTGTTAAACTAGATTCATTTATCAATGTAGAATATCCCAAAACAAAGAGTCCATCAGTAGGGACCTGATCTCCAGTAGCTAGATGAACTATATCACCAGGAAGTAGATCATATATTGAAATCTTTTGTCTGTAACTATTTCTAGTAACCTGAACTGTAATCTTCTTCTTTTCTCTATCTAAATCCTTAAACTGCAAAGACTGTTTATAATCGCTAGTCGCAGTGACAAATACAACCAACAAGATGCTTGCCACGATTCCAAGTCCGTCGTGGGCACCTTTTGGCCATCCTTCCGTTGTTATGCCAACAATCAGAGACACAAAGGCACAAACAGCAAGTATCATAAGGGTCATATCTTGACAGGCTTCCCATACAAAAACCCAGAAACCTTTAGCCTGTTTTTCAGTAAATTTATTAATTCCATAAATTTCTTTTCTTCGACTCAGAGAGTCTTCAGAAGTAGATATCCCATTGGTGATTGATGTCGAGAGCTTGTCTACAATACCCTCAACCCCACCATGACCTTTCAGCTTCTTCACATTATGGCCTTCAACAATGGATCCCAACTCATCAGCACAGATTTGAAAACCTGCAGCTTTTACTTCATCGGGTAAAGTGTAACTACTTATACCTGGATGTAAAAAGAAGGAGATCAATATAAGAAAGGATACCGCCAATTTTGAGTTTTGAGTATATTGTAGACTTCCATACCTTGGATAAATTGAACTGCGGCTTGTGAGACCAATACTGCAATTCTTAGCTTCTCCTACAATATTTAATCAACAAATTTGAAAAACAATCAGACAAGAGGGTCTGAAATGAAAAATAAAAAATTATCAAGTCTAACGAAAATATCTTTTTCACACTGAAAGTTGTCCCTTGAAGGCAACTATTGATAATGTATGATGGTGTTTCACCATTACTTTACATGATATGCTAATTATCCACCGTAACAAAAACATTAACATATGCAGCAAAACCAGGTCGCTGGACTGCAGTCTAGAACGGAACTGTTGAGATTTATAAAATTATTTATTTTTTACAAGTTGTTTCAAAACAATGCAACAAAATTTTAGCAATTTTAAAGTTGTTTTTAAAATCAGATTAGTGGTATTCAAAATTCTTTTCAAAATGGTGCATACATGGTCCCCGCCAAGACTAATTGTCCAAGCATTTTAGTAGCATGCACAAAAATGTTCATATAAATTCACCAATTGTCAACCTGAAACTTAAAAGATCAAACATCCATTACACTGCAATAACTTACATCACAAATGCATGAGAAAATTTCATTCAAAAGAAAAGGAAAAAATAAAACACTGCAAGTGACTTCAAAACTGTAAGGTATATCTATGTGGGTAGGAAATTTCATTTCCTAAAAACTGTGTCATTTAGGCAACCGGATCTACTAATCCACAAAAAAACTACAATCATATTTTATGACTTGCAGCATGGCCACTAAATGATAGTAATTGTATTGTTCAACAGACTATAAAACTGTCCATGTTCGTTCCAACACATATCCCAGCTTTCCTCCTGAGTGCTAGCTAACAGAATCTGCAGTTGATTAACCAATTGCTCGCGCTTTTGAACCTTTAAGGCTCAGTTAAAGCATTAGGTTCCGATCACCTTAACTTTTTAGTCATCTATCCCTGTAATTTAAATCTTCTGGTATTTACACTCACCTGTAATAATAAATATTCTCTAAATGTTCATAGCTTGGAGATTTAAAAGCTAAAACCTAGTGTGAATTTAATCATTCACAAACAGGTAAGAAAATGAATGAGGCTTAATGGTTCTGTAAGAACAAAGCAGAATTAAAAAAACTGAACTAATTATTTTGGTCATTTTCAGTAACCATCTTAAATTATTTTATTTCTATTGACAGCAAAGGGGAATCGTAAAACAAAAACTCCCTGTTTGGTCATCCGGAAAATGGTAAATAATAAATAAACAAATAAATCTCAGATTTTAGCTCCCAAAAATTGATGGTACAGGAAATATTAGGGAGGAAAATCGTAAAACAGAAACACACTGTTTGGTCATCCAGAAAATTGGGGAAAAAAAACGAAAATAGGACTTTCAACGCTCTGTTATTTTTTGTTTGGTTTCCAACTTTCCACAGAGAGAACAAAAAAATTTGAATCGAACTAAAGCCAAAAGTTGTATAAATCGAGTAGAGAAGAGTTTTCGTCTTCTAATTCTTTCAATTTTCTGGAGTGCTCACTCGAAAGTAATAAATATGGATTAGATTAACGTTACAGTTCCTTTCTGATTTCCAGACTTTCTCAGCAACCAAACAGAAAAACAAAAAAGAAGACAAAAGTAAATAGGGAAAAAAAAAAAACTTTGACAGATTGAGACCTGATTGGATCGTTGAATATTCCGAGCTTCAACTCGCTTGGGGACATTAGCAGTGAATCGAAACCTCCGCTTAGGATTCTTGACAAGCCAACAGGCCTTCCTCCATCTCTGAAGCGCCTCCTCCGACGAGTTCTTGGGCTTCACTTCCCCAAAGTTTTCATTCAAATAGCTCTCCATATCTGCTCCTCCTGTCCTCAATCTTCAGTACGATTCAAAACCCTAACCTCACCTTTTATACGAACAACAACAGTATGCACACAAACACACACACATATATGTATATATCTGTATTGATAGTAGTAAGATAGATAACTTGTGTTCTTCCAAGAAAAATAAAGATAGATTTGTGTATAGATCGAAGACTGTCGAGAATCAAATTCGAACACGCTAATGGTGTGAGTGATCGACCAGTTTGTTGCTTTATTCTGTTGTTGTGCTTTGTACGAACTTCAGAAGCTTTCAGAAAAGCAGAGTGTGAAGACTGTATCAGGCTAAAGTAGTCTCGTAGCTTCTTGGTGCAACTCTCTTTTCTCTCTACATCGATATGAACTTTATTTGAAACGCAATAGAGAAGGAAGAGAGTGGAAGGAGATCTTGCTTAGAGAGAGAGAGAGAGAGAGAGAGAGAGAGATTGGTTAGAGAGAGAGAAAGGGATTGGTGAACGGTCAAACTGTAATTTTACGTGGACAAATGGGATAGTGAAGTCAATTGGGCTTTTGTAGACTGGTGTCCTAAAACTGATATTCGGTCCAGCTTGGATGAGACCACAGCCACAAAGGTCTCTGTTTGGTAGGATGGCAACGGCGGGGTAGGGCGGGATTCCATTCCCCATTCCCGCTTCCATCACCGCTTAAAATTTTGTCAAAATTTTCATAGCCGCCGCCGTTCCAGACACCTTATTTCCGTTCCCGCCCCGTCCTGACCTCATAATTTTTTTATTAAAAAAACATATATATATTTTTTATTTTCATATATATAATAAATCTAATTTAGTAATAAATTATTATATGTAAGTGTATATTAGTAACTTTATACTTAATCGGGACGAGGCAAGTTTACTCCATCCACGTTTCCGGTCCCGGGCGGGATTCATAATTTGCCCCCATTCCCATTCCCGTTTAACTAAAAGGATCCCCATCCCAACTATAAATGAGGTAGGGTTCCGGCGGAAATGGAAAATTTGTCATCCCTAATGTTTGGCCTTTGGAGTGGTCCTCTGCTGGCCAAAAGGCGTAGTTTTGGTGAGGTGTGGGCTCCGTGATGGGACTCATGCAATCTGCTTTGAACCTCATAACACCGAACATTTTTCTTTAATAGGGTGTTCATCTCCTCGAACGAGTTTAGTTGTATTCGAATTTCTCATCTTCTTAATTTATCAATACAAAGTTAAAAAAAAAAAAAAAAAACTTTTTGCCATACGTCCTTAGTATAGAAGTACGTATGTTATGTTGCATATAGCAGTCCTCATCGTGTGCATGTGTGCATAATCACATGTGTAAGTAATGTGAACCATTAGAGCCTTAATCTGAATACGTGAATTCAACTGAATGCTCAATTCTTTTGGAAAAGCTTGTTATGGGAGAACTGACCAATTCAATTGGAGTTCCATACTATTTTTGTTGATTCTTAGTTGGGTCATATCAATTATCTTTCTCCAAACATTTCTCTTATTACATGTGGTTTTACATACCTACTATATTTTATTTTTTAAAGTCATTTTTAATGACATCATCATATTATTTTCGGTTGTCTCCTTCATTTCTCACCTTCTGGGGCCTTATTACAATTGTTTGTTTGTTTTTGTTTGATTAGCACGTCTTTAAATGTACGGTCTTTAGGTATACGGTACATGTGTTCAACCATTTAAATCTATTCTTTCCAACTTTCGCATCAATGAGTTTTACATGTAATTTTTTAAATAATAATAATAATAATAAATATATAAATAACTGTCATAGGGGTGGTTGAAAATCATGAAAAACATTTGAAGTTCACTAAAAATACGAAAAAAAAAAAAAAAAAAAAAAAATGTTCTACATGTGTTTTCTTGTGATGGGAAATTAGCACTATCAAAGAATTATTCAACCTACTCTTGTACTATCATATTAGAAATTGTTGCTTCAAATATTTACACTATTAAAAAAAAAAAAAAAAAAAAAAACATGTTCTACATGTGTTTTTTTTGTGTTTATCGAATTATAGGTTCCAAAATTGTATATCTATGATTTGTAAGAAAAAAAAAAAAAAAAAAGAACAACAATTGATCATATTTGCACACTTTTTATAATTATAGCTGGAAGAGGTTGTAATTTTTTTTTTTTTTGAAAAAAAAAAAATAAATAAGTGGGATGCAACTTGCAAATGAATACTGTGTGTGTATATATATAGTGTGTGTGTGTGTGTGGGGCCGCGTGGGGGACCGTGAAACGAGCATGATTCTCGGTTCCTGGTGTGGCATGGAAGAGCCGAAAGCATGTGGAGGAAGTGGACCACTGATTCTTTATGTTACGCGTTTTGGTAATATTTTTGGATTTTATGCAGACACAGGCAGGAGTGGAGCCAAACACGTATTGCCACAAGGCATGTTTGGTACGGCAGACCAAATGGACCTCGAAGGCGCGTTGAAAAAGACAGACCTTAAGTAAGTCTAATAAAAACGAAATTGCCACGAAAGGCCACCCTTCCAACGGTTCATTTTCAGTTCTCTGTTTTAAAAAATTAGGTGATGAATTGAATTCCGATCCCTTTCTTTTTTGTACTTCGGAAGAGGGAAATTTAGGAGGGATGGTAGGACATAAAAAGAAGAGGAAAAGGTAGGCAAAATGGAGTAAAGAAAGGGGGAAAAAAAGGAAGGAAAGAACAAATAGAAGAAAGGAAGTGAGATGGAACAGAAGACGAAGGAATTTATTTTCTTGGAGTTAGGTGTTACAAGAGATATTTGTCGTATGTCTAATCTGGATGAAAAGTGAAAAGGATATAAATGGGTAGGTATAAAGTCCACCCCTAAAAAAAATAAAAAATTATTATACCTACTTTTAGCCCACCTTATAAACAATTCTTGAATTTGTCCTTATCATCCGTTATAGTTGGTATCAGTTGTACATTCAGTCTTTAATTCGGTATCACGCCAAGTGTTTGGATAAGCCAGAATAGCTCGACAACAACTAGTACATTGCGAGTTTGAATAAAAAAAAATATTACAAGGAATATCTGTCTCATATGAAATTTGGAATGAAAAATAGATATAAATAGTTGGGATACTGCACTTCATATATGTGTACTAATCAAATAAAAAATTTAGATGCCGTATGACATTAGCAGATTGGTAAAGAAGATATTATTTTTACTTTTACGCCAAGATTTGTTTATTGTCTAGAAATTTGTTTATTGTTTGAAGCAGCAAAGGTTCAAATGGTAGTTTGGTAAATTCGATAGTTTGGTAAATTCGATATGATCATAGTGGCAAAGTTATTGGTGCATATAAAGTTGACATACATATGTGAAGCCAAATAGGCATGTAGTTCAGTTGATATATATTTTTTTTTTTGTTAAAAATGTAGTTCAGTTGATATTGATTGGCTCTAGTAAGAGGTTCCAGTCGAAAAGAAGTTATATTTGAAATTTAATTACTGAAAGATATTTGAAATTTGATTTCTAACAATATACGTTATTTGTAAAGTCAAATAGTCAAGTATGCGGGTGAACCATCCGGATAAATAGGGTGGTCCGATCTCGTAATGAGAGCGTTATAAATTTGGGTAAGAAAAAATATTATAAGGAGAATTTTTTCACATCAAATTTGAATAAAAAGTGAAAGTGATATAAATAGTTAGATATGTGATATTACTTAATTACTTAAGTTTTTAAGTAAATATATAAACATTCACTCATTATAGGGAACTTAATCACTAAAATAAAAAATTTAGATTCGCTACATGACATTAGCAGATTGGTACAGAAGATATTATTTTTACTTTTACGCCATAACTTAAATATTTGATTTTTTAAAAATTTGTTTATTGTTTGTAACAGTATATTATATACGGAGTAGTATAAATGAATATACTGGGAGAAATGCAGCAGCAAAGGTTCATTTATATATATATATATATATATATATATATATATATTGATGCAGGAGAAATGAACAGCAAAGGTTCAAATGGTAGTTTGGTAAATTTGATATGATCATAATGGCAAAGTTATTGGTGCCTATAAAGTTGATATACATATGTAAAGTCAAATATGCACGTGTACTGGTGATATTGATTGGCTCTATTAAAAGATTGGGTTAATTACATTCACACCCTTGAAGTTTGCCCTATTGACAACCAAATGAAAATTGACCTATTTATTAACATTGACCACCCCTCAAGTTTCGTAAAGTTAACAAAGACACCCCTCTGATCTTCTGCACATGGTGAATTGACGTTATTGTCCTTTGACTTGATAGTTGACCTATTTGGACTATGAAATTACCTTTTTAACTTTTACAACTCAGTTTATTTAACTAAACTACCCTTTCATGCCAAAAAAAAGAAAGTATAATTATACATATATATGTATTACACACACACATACATGTATGGATGTGGTGGTTCATGTGGATGGAGGTTAGTACTAGTAATATTAAATTCAGTATAATATAATGTAATATGAAAAGAGGAAAGTGGGACAATACCACTTGCAATGTGATATTTGAATTTTTTTTTTTTTTTTTTTTTTTTTTTGTGTGATATTTGATTCACACAACACCAATCCAAATTTGTTATATTAAAAATATAATAATATATGCAATAAACTATATTGGAGTTGGGTATTTGATAAAACTATGGGTTATTGTCAAAACCAAAACAAAATTAGTACAAAACCATGTAGGGTCACCTCGTCTTCAATTCTTGTTCTCCAGCGAATGGTCTTGGTGCCAAGCCTCAATTTGTTGTTAGGAGACCTGTAGGTGAGAAAAGGTCCAAAAAAAAAAAAAATTGCCAGTCCAGCCGCAGTACGTTCCCGGCAGATTCCGATTGAGCTGGTCAGATTCCGATGATAAACACAGTATGCAAGACCAAAATGATACTTGTAGCTTTGATTTGCTCTGATTTTCAATTTAAAGAGAGAGAGTGGTGGCTATGATTTGAGATTGTCATGGGTTTGATTGGGATTGTTGTGGGTTCAAATGGGTGGCGATGTGGTGGCAGGAAAGGTGAAAAGTGATAGCTGGCGAGGTGCGAATGCCAACACGCTGGAGCCGAAGAAGACCAAACCCAAAAAATGCCGGCGGGGGTTGTAGGGATCCAGCGTATTATATTTATGTGTGTTTGTATCCCGTGTATTATATTTTTGTGTGTTTGTAAATTGTAAAATACTAGTGTGTGAAGGAAGAGGGGAAAGAGGGGTATTTTAGTCATTTAAATACTTTCATACTTTTAATCAAGGATTATTATTTTATTAAAGGGTAATAACATCTTTTTGTACTTTTTTAGGAACTGTTTGACTGCAATTTATTACAGGGGGTGTGAGTGTTCAAAAAGTGACCAACTCTCATATGGTTGTCAATAGAGCAAACCTTAGGAGGTGTGAGTGTAATTAACCCTAAAAGATTCAGTTAGAAAGAAGTTATATTTGAAATTTAATTACCGAAAGATATTTGAAATTTGATTTCTAACAAAAAAGAATTAAAAGTACGAGTTTAAAT